ATTAGAATTCCAGGAAGTCTGTAATCTAAATAAACTGTCTGAGACACTTTTTTATCTGTTTTATTTGATTATCCAGTCGTTAGCCTACTTAATTCTATCATTGAATAAAGTATAGAAAATAAACAGATCGTTCTATCTTCTTCGTAATCTTGTCGTCGCTTCTTTACTTTTGGCCTCGTTTATTTTAATTTATTTCCACATTTTAAAGCCAATTTTGGGTTTTCTACGCTTGAAAAACTCGAAATTTGAAGGGGTATAACGTTCAAAAATTCAAATTCTGTGACGTCACGAAACGTAGTCGCTACTCGTTTTTCTTTATTCGTAAATTTTAATTGCGTATAAAATTAAGTTTATTGCATTTTTTTTATTTTAAATAATTTTTATTATTGTATTTTTTCGTCAAAATTTAAAAATTTTTAAACGATTTAAATGAGCAGCGCGTGAAGTTTTAAATATTTAAATATTATGAAGTCATTTTTATGGCCCTCTACATTATTTTTAATTAGTAAAATGTGACGTCAGGTATATTATTTTTAAAGAAAAAATATGGCGTTATTTCTCAAATGTAAAAAATTCTCTATTTTGAAAACATTTGAAGCAAAAAAATAAAGTAAAATAAAAAAATAATAAATACTTTTAAATCTGTTTAACGTTGCTTTTTAAGATTATAATTTTTTTTAAATTGAAAATTTATAATTTGAAGTAATGATTTAATTATGATTAGAATAGTCAATTTAGATTAAGGTGTTTGCATCATCATGTTAACAACAATTAATTAATAAGGGAAACAATTAATTAATTGTTTAATAATTATTTTAAACTATCTTAACGCAATCGGATTACACATAACGAGAGTTAGATAAGTGCAATGGCTCTGAAGAGTTTTAAAAGGGACTTGATCAGCATTCCTAAAGATCCAACACCTTACTGTTCGGCAAAACCTATCGACGACGACATGTTTAAGTGGCGGGGGAAACATAATGAGCCCCGCCCGATAACCTTTAAGAAGGAGGTGTCTTCTATCTCAAGATACTCTTCTCCGACGAATACCCGTTTGAACCTTCAGAAGTAAAATTCAAAACTAAAATTTTATCATCCAAACATCAATAAAAATGTTAACATTTGTTTGGCTATTTTAATAGATAACTGGTCTCCATCGCTGACCACTTCAAAATTGTTACTTTCGATATGTTCGCTTCTCTGCGATCCGATATATGTTGACATCGCCGAATTACACGAGAGGGATAAGGAAAGATACAACAAAGAAACGATACACAATACAACATTGAAAATTATTTTCCGAATAGTTTCGTTCGATTTTTTCTCTTACAAGAAAACTCCTAAATTCAAAAAATTCGTCATAAATCTACCAAATCTCTATAAAAAAAAACATTTGACTTTGAAAGATAATTATTATAACTTGAATGAACGAGTTAAAATTTGTTGCATAAACAAATAAATAACAATTATGCATTAATTGTGTTGATTCATCATCTTCCTTTATTAAGTTTTATAACTTTGCACCGGGCTAACCGATAGAGAAATAGAATAGTTTAATTAACAGTCTTGAATGTAAGGTCCGAACGCTGAATTAATTAGAAAATTTTTTAAAATTTTCTTCAATCAATGAAGCTTGATTTAATCTTTCCTAGTCAAAAAGTAATCCTGAAATCAGTATGAATGTCCGATAACTATCCTATTCAAATTCATCATTATAATATTCTTTTATCTGGTTAGATTATTTAATAATATATAATATTATTTATTATTTTTATGCCGTGTTTAAAATACAATGATTAATTTTATAAATATTCATTTATTAGTGCGACGATAATAAAATAATTTTAAAAAATCAGATAAACGAGTGTTTATCAATCCCACCGCTAGGATTCAAACCGATCAGAACCGGTTAATGACGTCACGGGTTATCGTCTGCTTGCCTCCCGAGTGGATCTCGTTATCGTCTGAATCGGAAGACGAGACATCTTGATGCAATGGCCGCTTTTTAAAATATTGACGTCAAATTGCGTAATGTCGATAAGGATCATAAATTTTGTTGCTTGTTATTGATACTTTTATTCTTAAAAACATTAATACGATTATTTTAACGATATTAATAGTATTATTTCTTTAGAGGTGCCAAATTGAGTCGCAGTGACCTCTGCCATGTCCGATTCGAACTGGTTCATGATGTCCTTGTCCTCCTTTTTCATCTGTTAGCGAACTCATTTTCTAAATTAAAAAAATTAATAAAATAATAACAAAAAAATTAAAAAGATAATGCGTCGACCTTTGACCTTTTCCTTGCGCAACAAGACAGACAATTTTTGTCAGCAACATAGATAAACTTATAAAAATTCTGCTGACAAAGTTTTCTTTTTTCTTTTATCTAATTAATTTACTAATCAATTTGACGATTTAAATCATATTAGTTTATTGACGCCGAAGTCATATGACAATCCATTTTCGATATCTTAATTTTAATTATCTCAACGAAAGTAGTGACGTAGCACCTGTTAGATATTTCTGTCCGATTGGATAACAGCTTATCACGTGATGCGTCGGAAAATTTTCTTCAAAAAATTCCTTTTAGAAAGCGTCGCGATGCGGCAATTTTTTTCATGATAACGACGAATTATTTAAAATAAGTTAAAAATTATAAATTTAACATTTCATTAATGATAATTAAAATTTCAATGTAATTTACATGACTCGAAATTCACATTAGAGAACATTTTATTTTAAATATTTAATATTTTGTAAGTGACGTCGCTCAAAAAAACTCAAATTTCAAATTTTTAACAGATCATAATAAATCAACAAATTTTAAAAAATAATAATAAATTTTATTAATTTTATATAAATAAATAAGAATTAAATTAAATTAATTTTACTATTCTAACAATTAATAAAATTAATTAAAACTTAAAGGATTTGAATAGTAGGAAATGACGTCATTCCACAAATTTCGAATTTAAAGAAAAAGGATGATTTTAGTCACCTGACTGGTTTAAAAAAACTCAAGCACGTGATTATAAGTATATTCCATTACGTAGAAACTAAATCTTGAGTTAAGTTCAAATTTCGTCACCATTAAAACGCGTTGAACACGTGAAAGGACCTTTAACTTCCCCAAAAATTACTATCTTAACGTACGATTCACGTGATTAGTCTTTGCAAACTTGGAATCACGCCACGAAAATCGATAGTGGGCGTATATTCCTATGACACAATTCTGTATTATTGAATTTGTCTTCAGTAAACTTTGCAGCGCGTATAATTCCAATAAATTAGTGGATAAAAGGGAGAAAAAAATTTAAAGAAAGTTTTGCACGTGCAGTATGTAACTCCTATCGCATCAACCTAGAAAAACGGTATCTTATCAGACACTGTCTTTGACAACCAACCTCCTAGCATCAATCGTTACTTTATCATAGGCCACACTCCATCGGTTTCTAACCCCTTATGTTTGTATACATTTAGCCTACATACATAGGTTATAATTCCTTATCTCCAAAGCTTTGCTTCAGTAAAATTATTATTATTTTTTTAAAATTCTTTTTAAAGTTTACTATATTAGAAAAAAAGGCAAAACAAACAAATCGTTCGTGGTATGAGATTCAAAACAGGAGCTGGGGATTTTTCCCTGGCCCGGAGAAAATTTAAGTATAAACCCCTACACATTAATATTATTTTTACTACTAAGAAAAATTAAAATATTTTGGGATGCCTTTAATTAATAAATAAAAACATTCTATATATTTCGGTTGTTCAAAAAAAATTTGGCAAAAGAGGCTCGCTACTCCCAGGCCCCCTACATGCTCTCGGCAACCCTGCTTGAAAATCTGATTGGTTGAATTTATCTTAAAAATTACTAAAATGTTTACGTAATGTTTATTATTGACGATCCTGAGGAACTGTGTGAGGAATAGGATAGCTAGAAATCCTATTCAGGAACTGGAAATCCTTTACTAGTGCTAGAATAACTAGAAATTTCGGAGGAATAATTGTGCTTTTTTGATTCAGAGAAGGCATTTAAAATCCTAAATTGGTAAATCCTGGATGATAACTAATAGATCCTCAGATGAGCCTCTCGAGGATACATTATTTAAAGATCTACGGTGATGTTTTGGGTGTTTAGAAGTTCATAATAGTATTATTAAATCTAAAATTTCTAGAGAGGATTCTGATGCGTTAAATATAATTAGAAATAAACAATTTGAGGATTAAAATTTAAAAAATTTTTAATAGCAGGATTGCAGTGTAAATTTAATTGAGGATCCAAAAAGCTTAACTTCATTAGTCTGTTAAGGATCTAATTGAGGATCAAGTGAGGATAAAGCTATAGAAATTCATGGCTAAGTGAATAGAATTATAAACTTTTTATTGGTATTTACCAATAAAAAGCTTCGATGAGAAAATTCATTTTTAGCAGTTTAAATTGAGGATTTCTAAATTATTTATTGATTTAAATCAAAATTTCCAAGTATCGTAAATCATAGTAAATTATTGATAATCATATGCAATATTAAATTAAGAGAAAGGATAACTGACATTGTTTATATTACATAACATCTGTATATTCTAAACGTATCCAAATTTCCAATTTAGTTATTCAGATTTCGACATCCATTAATTAAGTGGGATTTAGGAATGAATCTTATCTTCATCTACACAGTTTGCTAAATTTTTCACGTGATATATGTCTAGCCCGGTTGCACAACTAACCGTAAAAATACAAATAAAAAAAAAGTTATAATAATAATTAAATATCTTAAACAGCTTTTTCTCTTTTCGATTGTGATAAAAAGTATCAAATAGTAAAGCACGACCTTGGTGCGAGTGATAAAGGCGCCTAAATCCAGCCAATGGCACGCGATAGCGATAAAGAGGCGCGACGCGACACACGCCACCAATGGCGCTTCGGCTTCGGCGACGATTTGGCCGCGGTCCAAGTCACGTGACCGTCTGGAATGAACGTATATAACATCATCCCCCGAACAGGTTATTCATAACCAGATTTCTCTCGTTACTACTCTTACGTTTGGTTTTGTGCTCTGAAACGTCTTCTCATTGAAGAATCTTCAAGATGGCTTTTATGATGCCAGTGGTCAAGAATGAATACGATATCTACGGAAGTAGGAGAAGCTCGACTTGCAGCAATCAGACAAGATCGAGATGCCCTACAAGATCCAGTTCAGTGACTGCTAGCCTTTCGTGTTCGCCAGGCAGCGATCTGGACTATCGTCTAGCATCCGTATCGATGGGTTGCTCTCGACATTCTAGAAATGGTTCCGGATGCCAATCGGAGATTCCATCACCGAAATCGGCTTCTAGCGTATCCCTTCAGAAATTCCACAGTCGCCTGTTGGACAAACTGAAGAAGAAATTGAAAATCAAAGACGACGATAGCTCCGATGATGAAGGACAGAAAATGGCTTCCAGGTAGTGAATGAACTTTTTATGCTTATACTATGTACATAGTCACATTGTATATATGTGTAACTAGTATATTCGGGCCTGGAGCCGGAATCTCGCGTGAAGAAGCCGTGATGACGAGTCGTTTCTCGCTAACATCTAGAGAAATGCCATCCAGTAAAGACTGTGAAAGACATTTTAAAAGACTCTCTTCAGTGCTATAACATTTTTTTGTACATATTTTTAAAAAAATTCGCTTGACGACTTTGCTAAGAAAGTAAGCAAGAGAGCCATGTCGCGGTTTGTACAGAAAGTATTATAATATGGAGCTTGTGTTAATTTATATCATTCCAATTGTTGTGAAAGTAAAAAAAAAGTTATTCCTATTGAGGAAAAATAATAAAATAAAAAGAAAATTTTATCCTTATTTTCTGTGTTTTGAATCGTTTTATTTTTCTCGCTATTAAAACGGATCGACAGTCGCGAAAATTGAACGAGAAAATCGCTTTAAAAAAAACGACGCGATAAAAATCGAATTTACATACTCGGTAGACATTACAAGACTGCCACGTGTTTAAAAAGCGAAGTACATATTGGAAGAGTGCCAAGGTCTGTTTCGGAAGGGAACCATTCACGTCACGTGATCGACTTCGGTCTAGATGGCTCTATGCCAGGCGCCAGCTAGGCGCCAACTCGTCACGTGCTTCTCGTCGACCTCGCTTTTCTACCCCCCCCCCCTTTAATGTCTTAAGTTCGGTAAAAAGGTATGAAATTTTTGGCTACGATCCCATTTCGGATTTTTCTGACACGTCACTTTTTATTTATAGTAGTGTATGTAACTAAGGTACCAAAAATAATTATATATATACATATATTTAATTATTATAATCTTCGAAACGTCTTAAATTGTTACTAAATACGCGAAAGACTTTGCTTTCCTTATGTATTTTGGTTTGTTTGGAGTTATTTTTTGTTAGATCGAGACAATTCGTGAGTAATGAAAGAAGGATATTCATTCTCCTATTTTTATTTGTACACGTACAAAAGCGGATCTGCTACCTTTTATACACCTGTTCTGCCTACTGTTAAATTTAGTTCAACACCTACACTACATTTCTAGGTCGAAATAGGGATTTTTCTAAACTTTCCTTAAACTTCTATAATTAACTTTCCTTTAAAAAAGGATTGTTTTTTCCTATACCTTTGGGGCGTTTTAGTATTAGAATTAACCGAAGTAGACCTTAAAATTCCTTATGTATGCGTGCTTCTCATAAGATATGGGACTTGATATATTAGAATTGATCTAAATAAATAACCAGAAAGGATTACGTGCTCCTACGCTTAAAGAATTCCTTGTAAGCTTATAGGGATTTGTATAATTAAAGGGGTAATCTGTCTTTGCAATTCTATCCTTTATGTTTATACTGTATAAGCGAGAACATTTTTCTGCAAGCTTGCACGCTGGTAAAACCTGGTTTTTGTATTTACATAACTAAAAAGGGAAATTTCTTAGGGTATACTCCCTCAGGGCTTTTCCTATTAATTATATTATTCAAGGGTTCAGCTCTATGTGAGTTACGTAATTTAATATTTTCTATTACGTATGAAGCTTATATAAATTAAGAGTTTGTTTTTTTTATGTGCGTAAGAAAGTATAGTTTCAATCGATAAGTAAATTCTACACGTATATAAACTCCTGGAATTGCTCCTGTATGTGTTGTAATAGGGATTTCTTGTGTATGTAGGGGTGTAAATCTCGAGTTGAATCAACTTATTGGTATGTTCTTTCTCAATTGAAAGCAAAAGGAAACAGTAAAGTTTCGTTTACTAACAGAAATTACACGTTTTAATTTCGAAGAAAACTTGTTCCTGCTTAGAAAATCCTTTTCGCTCGCATAAAATCGTCATCCTTGACATAATTTTTAAGACAAACGGATGCCATTTTTTCGATACGAATTAAAATTTATTCATCCGATTAAGAAATTTTATATATTACGAATATTTTCAATTACGAAAAAAGGTTATAAAGCTTCTTATCTATCAAAGATACGTGATTTCACTTACAAATTTACGACTTCCTTATTGAAAATATATATAAAAAATATATATACTTGTATATATTAAGCTCGACCAACATACGCCCAAGACCACTTCTGACGTAAAGTCCTATTTATGTGTTAAAAATTTACATAAAGTTTGATAATGGTTCGATATGCACATGGGCGTCAGCCTTTTATACACAAGAGCTACTACACAGTCAGCACATTTAACCTAAAATAGAGAAATTTGGCTTGACCGAAACTTTCTCAGAAAGTTGACCTAATTTTTCATCGAAACCGGTCATCACAAAATGATATAGCTTTTAGAAAAGTTTAATATCATGTGTACTCCATTTGGTTAGAGATATTTAATTATCAACCTGCTTGGGATATTATAATAACAATTAAATAATTTCCAAAATAGTTTTCTGACCTGTATGAAGTATAATGTTCTGGTTTCAGCAGTTACTATTTTAAATATCCTCTCACTCACAGTCAGAAGGAACCACATTAAACAATATTTAACACGAACTAATTGTTAATAATATAAAAAGCTATTTAAATATTTACTTTAAAAACTTTCTACGTAGCTATTATATTGCTTTGTTAGCTTACAGATACGTAAATTTCATTTTCTAATCAATTTCGTGAAGCACGTGGTTTATAAGTATGTAAATTTAACTTTTTGATCAATTTCACGAAGCACGTGGTTTACAAATATGTAAATTTCATTTTTTNTCGCGATGTCAAGGCAACGCCTTCCCGTTCACGGGATTCGATACCACCATAACTCGATAGAAGGGGGGTTGGAAATGAGTTTCCGTCCTTGATTTATGCCATTGATACGGTTTTGGCGGGAAATAGTATCCGTTAACTCCGCATTATCTACATTTCCCACCCGCCGAGTGTGCCTTATCTGTATACCGAGTGGTGTAAAACGATGTAGACGTAACGCGACGAAAATGCGCTTGAGCTATCGTTCTTTCAGTAAAACGTCTGCACGGTGTAGGAATTTTAAAATTTCTCAGTCGTTATGTTTATATTTTTATTTATAAACTAGTTAAATGCACGGTTTCCGGTCGGGAATGTTCTGGTGTTTTTTTTTTTGCAGAACAGGTTGAACGGTCGTAGGTGATATATTATGAGAATCTGTAGGTATTTTACCTTCTTCGAGTACAGGTGTTAGAATTAAGTAGATGTCCTTGATGGTGGATCGATCCTCAAGGACGGGTGGAACAAGATTTTTATACCAGTCCTGTCCATTAAAAGTATATATAGGCTATAGAATTATATATATATTTTTTATGACACCTTTACAACGTGTATATAAGTTATTGACATATAACTCGTAAAATGGTATAATATGTATTTGAAATGGAAATTTGTTCTATGTCCTGCATGTTTTATAATAACCTAGCAATTGTTTAATATATGTATATTTTTTAAATGAATTCTTTGTTGATCAACAAACCCAGATGTATTTATAAATATTTAACTTGTTTTACCATTTCAACATGTAGGGCAATATTGTCTTTAAAAAAAAGGGGGACAAGTAAGGAGGGAAACATGTTTTTTTTGTTTTAAATTGAGAACAAGATACGAGCTTACTTGTATTTACAGTCGTAGGTGGTTTATTGACATTCTTTGCTTACTAACGCAATATACAGGTACTGTGTACCTGTACATAACTACATTATTATTGGGAAAGAAGTTCTATGAATGGAACACGTTTATAAAAATGGTGTTGTAAATGACGTCACGTTTATTTATTGCGACAGATTTTTCTCTCTCTGTACTATTTATCCTTGAAAGATTGTAGGTGTGTCTTTATTTATAAATACAGTAAATATATATAAAATATTGAGTAATAACATTTGAAAATAATGATTAATTCGATACAATTGGGTAAATCCTTATTTAATTTTGTAATAAGGAAATAATTTTTGTATGTAGTTGTAAGTTAGTTAAATTAATTATTTTAATTGTAAAATTATAGAATTATAAGTAATATATTATTTAAAAATTCAATTCTGATACGAAATTTTATCATTTAAGCACTTTTATCGTATGATAATTCTTGTATTTTGGCTCGTAGAGAGAAAATTTATTATTTATATTAGAAAGGTCATCATCATCATGTAATGTACTTAGCATATTCTTAGGATTTGGTTGTTCTACTCTTCACAAGCCTATTCTGTGCTAATTTCTCAATCACACCACACGCAAACTAGGACCAGGCAACCTAAGCAAGCTACAGCTTAGGACCTCGCCCTTTAAAATTCATTATTATTTAATAGAGTGGAAGGACCTTTTATATGAATTTAAAGCCACGTTCCGTAGATTCTATAACGAGGGGTGTTTGTGACAAGTTTTATCCTAGGATTTTAACTATCTTCTTGTTAAGTACGAACAGGATTTAAGCAGGATTAACTGATATATTTAATGCTCTAGGCGATACGAATTTCCGTTCTCCACCCTTTCCTACCTGAGAAACTTCAATTCTTACTCATATTAATGCAATTTCCTGCTTTCTATGCATAAATTTGCGCACTGTCACCAGAACTACACTAAAAATTACCTATTTTTTCTATCTATTTAGATATGTTCAAGTTAAAAGAAAAATTATAAAAATTTAACAGAAAGTACTTAACAGTGAATTAAACAGAAAGTATTGCTTTAGAAGATAAATATATGTACTGTACAGTACCTAACAATCAGTATTGACTGATATTAATGCTCTTCTAAGAGCATATGGGGCTAAAATAATGTTATAAAACTAAATATCATATGCTAATAAATTTAATTATAGTTTATGATGCTATAAAATATCTTTCAATCTGGATAGCTTTGATAGGCCATATAGCAAATAATTATCAAAGTTATAGAACTGTAGACCTACATAAATTATAGAAATAATGCTATAAGAGTCTACACAATGCTCTTAATTTGTACATAAAGCAATTTAAGAATGGAATAAAAGTTAAAAATAATAATAAATAAATAGTTTTTATGCAAAAATACCTCTACTGTACTTATAAGTTTTTCCTTAAACTGAATTAATAAACCCTCCAGCACTTTTATAAGAGATTCTAGAGTAATTTTGTCTGAATCTACGCTGAAACTTATAGAAATTTATATTACTAGAATATTTTTATACACATTTTCTCGAATTTCACAACAATTTAATAATCATTTTTAAGATTCTTATTTTATTTATTAAGTTCTATGTTTAAGTATTCCTCTTAAGACTATACTTTGGTTAATTACTAAGTAAATTGTATAAATAAATTGAGTTATAGAGACAGATTTACCACATAGTTGCAACTTATAATATAAAA